TCGGGGCGGCGGGCGCCTCCACGGCGGGGCTGTCGCGCGAACGGCTCCGGGTCCGCTAGCTACACCCTCGTTGCAGCCTGCTGGGACCCGGGATCCCCCAGGAGACCATGATGCTGGGCACGGAAGGCGGAGAGGGGTTCGTGGTGAAGGTGCGGGGCTTGCCCTGGTCCTGCTCGGCCGACGAGGTGCAGCGGTTCTTCTCCGGTGAGTGCGGCGGGCGGGAGGCGCCCTGCGGGGCCGCGGCGGGCGGCGGGCGGCGGGCGAGGCGAGGCGCCCCCTGTCGGGCGCGGGCGGGCCGCTCCCCCTCGCGCCCCTGCAGCCGGTTACGCAATGGAAACTGCGAGAGCCGCGCGCCTCCGGGCTCCTGGCGGCTCTTTGTTAAAGCGGCCGGCTGCGTGGATGTCGTTTTCAGAGGACTCCCAGGCTGGGATCGACGGAGGTTCCTCCCATCTTTGAGAACGTTGCCGAATAAAATAGTTTGTTGAGGGTAGTACTTGGCAGCAGGCCGCGAGAAGTTAAAATGTCACTTCCCTTTCAGCTTTCAAAATCAAGCTTCGGTAATTGAATTTCTGTTCATTGAGTTCTTGATCTGGCACATTTGAGGACACAGAAATAAGGCCTTTCTCACCTGTTTTTTTTCTTTCTTTCTTTTTCTTTCTATCGTGTAAGTTCCTTGAGTAACTGAAACCGGAGTTTTCTTGTCCCATTACTAGTGTAGGAGTAGACAGAAGAAAATTGTATTTTGAAAATTACAGGTTAGAGGAAAGGCACTTGTGTTAGACTCTGAATTAGCTACAGTAACGGAAGACCTGTAATAAAAGAACTAAGTACACGAAGCCACTTTTGCAGGGGGCAAGACTGGGTTTGGCTTGAACTGTGCAACTTGGAGCGCTTTAGCTTGGTAACACTGATCCCCTCTAAGGTGAGTATTAAGTCTGCGGTTTGTATTCGGAGAGGTGCTGTAATATGGCTCCTGGTAAGGCAAAATTACCCAGATCAAAACTGTTAAAAGTACTGTAAAATCATGAGATCTAGAGGTGGTTTTACCCCAAGATGCTAGGGAAAAGCATTTATGCTGGGTATGTGGGCATAAGCTTGTAAGCCTAGCGCACAAGAGGCTGAGGCAGGAGTACCCTTCACAAGTTAAGGCCAGTGTGGATGCAGAGTGCAGGCTTAAAAAGATTCAATGGAAACTTGAGTAGCAGTACTGAGACACGCCTCATTAAAGAGCTTTAAATACTGGGTTTTCTGGGGCAGTGTGCCAAATAAGATTGGTGGTGAGAACAGAGATGCTAAGAACTGGTAGTATATTGGTCGTTTTAGTTTTACAAATGACATATATTTTATTAGCAATGTTTTGTGCAGTATTGTTTTTTGAGATAGGGTCTCTAGTTGAAGCTGGCCTTGAACTCACTAGCCCAAAGCCTCAGCCTCCCAAGTGCTGGATTAAGCACGCATCACCATGTCCAGTAAAAGTACTCACACTTGTGTTACCCAGAGATGGTTTTAGGTTTCATTGTGGGTTTTTTTGATACTGGGAATTGAACTCAGAAACCTGCTGCTGCCAGGCAGGTGCTTTTGCCATTGAGTTATCTCCCCAGTGGTTTTAGGTTTTAAATTCTGTATTAACGGTTGTTTTCTTTCCAGACTGCAAAATTCAAAATGGGGCTCAAGGTATTCGTTTCATCTACACCAGAGAAGGCAGACCGAGTGGCGAGGCTTTTGTTGAACTTGAATCAGAAGATGAAGTCAAATTGGCCCTGAAAAAAGACAGAGAAACTATGGGACACAGATATGTTGAAGGTTTGATTTATGTTGCCCTAGTAACAATATATAAAACGTTAAACATGTAGCGATCTTACCCCTTCTGAATTTTAGGTATTTGACCGCATGGAAATGGTCACCTAAGGGAGTTTATGGCAGCTCTTCCTAGCTCAGGAAATCTGAACTTTTTTCTCAAACTTTCCAAAATTGACTAATTCTAAGCACCTCTTTCAGTATTCAAGTCAAACAACGTTGAAATGGATTGGGTGTTGAAGCATACTGGTCCAAATAGTCCTGACACGGCCAATGATGGCTTTGTACGGCTTAGAGGACTCCCCTTTGGATGTAGCAAGGAAGAAATTGTTCAGTTTTTCTCAGGTATGTGGTTTTGTTGCTGAGCAGTGAGTTCTGGCTAGCTTCTGGCAACTTGATTTGAGTAGATGTTACATTTGAGTAGCCTAGGTACTAAATAGGCTGAGTATATGCTGATGAATTTGTTGTCTTTTTGGAGACCTTCAAATAACTTAAGCCCATCTTAAAGGTGGAAATCAGAAGTACCTCCAAAATGTTAATTTTGTCTATGTTTAGTGTCTTAGAGTAGATCTTTTGAGGACTATCCTCAGCAATTTACTTTTCTTACATGCTGTTTGGCAGAGTACTTCAAGTTAAAGGTAAGCTCTTTTATCCTTAGGTTAGTATGAGTTAGATTGTAATTCTTAATGGTGTCTGTTACGGGACACTTAGGCCACAGAGCTAATGTTTCTAATGGTGTAATTCTTCATATGGCCCCCACCCCCCAAAAACGGTAGCTTAGCCAGCCTGTACGAAGCGGTAACTGAGAATTGAATTTAGCAACTGTAGGTGGGATGCTTGTCAGTATCTGAAATAATAGTGTTTTTAAATTGTTCTGGGCCTAAAGTATTTGAATGTTTTTATGCTGAAGAGCTGATAAGATTGCATGTTTAGCAGAATGTTAAATCATAATATTTTAAGTACCATTAAATACTCTTGACATGATAAGCTGGAATTAAGAAATCCTTTCATGGTTTCTTTAGTATGTATTAAAATTTTTAGATGATGTATCAAGTCCTAATATTTTGTCAGAATTTTAAAAATCTGTTGTTTTATCTAAATTGGTGAGAATTGAATGCTATTTGTCAACGTTAAATATGAACATAATTTCATATCTTCTAGGAAAGTGCTTTAAGCCCTTTTTGTAAGCTTGGGAATGTATCCACGGAAAGGATTTTTCATAAACGGAATTTCCAGAAGTGAATCATACTACTGTTAGACCATAAGAATGCATGACTGTACTGTGTAGATAGTTTGTTCAAGTTTTAGATTGTATAATTGTTGTGATTTATTGTTTGAATTTTTATATAAAATGTGTAAATGTATACTTTTTAAAAACTTGAAGTTCCAATAACTTAAAGCATTGAAATATAAAATGAGGTATAAGGTGTGTCTTGAATTTAGTAAAACTGTTTTAATGCTTGAAACTATTAAACTGCATAATTTTTCAACAATACATTAATTGCATAAATAAGTGTTAACTGTTGAATTCTTAATGCACCCTGTGTGAAGCAGCCAGTTTTTAAAAATATAATGCATACTTTGCCCCATGGGATGTGTTAAGAATTGTGTTGTAGTTTTAATAGTGGAACTTCATATTATTGCAATGCATATTTAAAGAGTACTTGTTGAAAGCATACCATTCACCTAAAGTTAAAGTTCTGGTTTATTTAAAGCTATAAGAAGAATCATTTCTGGGCTTGTGATGTTAATATTGCCCCCCTACTGGGGTTATTTGTCCTTGGGTTGAAGGGTTGGAAATCGTGCCAAATGGGATAACATTGCCGGTGGACTTCCAGGGGAGGAGTACGGGGGAGGCCTTCGTGCAGTTTGCTTCACAGGAAATAGCTGAAAAGGCTCTAAAGAAACACAAGGAAAGAATAGGGCACAGGTGGGGATGGATGGCTGGTGGATTTGTCACTTTTCTTATGGTAAACAGTTAAATCCATATTCTCTCTGCTTAAGAGGAGGAAATCGGTCCATTTCCTAGTCCCCATTAATTGATCTTTTACCAGAATTTCAAACTGTCTGAGTCCCATATTACATTCAAACTAAATTTGAGGTTTTAAAATTGTCACCAATTTGATTTACTTTAGGATATTGTTAGGTTCTTAATTTATTAGCCCCAGTCAATGGAGTTGAGAGACTATGGCTTTAAAAATTAATGCAAACCTGGCTTTAGCTATAATAACACCCAATAGTAAATTAATATTACCATAAGAAAATGTGATACTTTCTGATCTTGTTTTTAAAGTTGAAATGCAACAAACTTTTTCTTGCTGTATAAATATTCTCATATGTATTAATAAGCATAGCTTTCAAGAAATTGTCACAAAAGGTTTTCTCTTTGTTTGTGACTATTTTTCATTGAAGCATGCGCTTACCTATGCTGATACTTACTAAAAGCATAGGCTGGGGTATTTTCTTGGCGACAGGAAGTGTGTAGTGTGGGCTGGACTGTTGGCGAAGGCTGGCTTTTGAGCCCACTTGCTATACATGCTGCCAATGGATTTGAGTTGAAATGTTGAAAGTTGAGTGGAATTCTTTCCCTCCTGAACTGTTTATGTTTATGTGTAGTGCTCCTCCATACCCCTAAGGTTGGGGCTCTGCCTCAGAGGAGTGACTATTTTCCTATAAAGCTTACATTAAGTTGTTTTACTGTTGAGTGTATTTCTGGTCATTGCCTATGCAAATATAAGAAATCTGGCTTTTAAATATTAGTCAGTTTCATGGCTATGACTAGATTGTTTTCTTGTATCACTGAGTGCCTATATGAAGTGAACTAATGTTTTCTCTCCCCTCCCCGCTCCCTTCCTCTTGGACAATGCTTTAGGTATATTGAGATCTTTAAGAGCAGTCGGGCTGAAGTTAGAACTCACTATGATCCACCACGAAAGCTTATGGCCATGCAGCGGCCAGGTCCCTATGACAGACCTGGGGCTGGCAGAGGGTATAACAGCATTGGCAGAGGCGCTGGCTTTGAGAGGATGAGGCGTGGTGCTTACGGCGGAGGTGAGTGACACTGTACAAGGCTGGACCCGTTTGTTTCCTTTTTCTAGGTATTGGCATTTCATTAATTGCACTTTTTGCTTTTTAGGCTATGGAGGCTATGATGATTATAACGGCTATAATGATGGCTATGGATTTGGGTCAGATAGATTTGGAAGAGGTAAGGTAAGAATTAAAATTCCCATTTGAAGGATACTTACACTTTTGTTCATCTAGACCTCAATTACTGTTTTTCAGGAATGTCTGATCACAGATATGGGGATGGTGGATCTACTTTCCAGAGCACAACGGGACATTGTGTACACATGAGAGGATTACCTTACCGAGCTACTGAGAATGATATTTATAATGTAAGCGCAAGGTGGTTTCACTCAGTACATTTCAGTGTGGAAGTTAAACTGAGCCTCCTCCCTCTTAAGTGAACATCACGCTAGAAAATTTAGCTGGGGTGTAGCTTTACTGGTAGGGTGCTTGCTTAGCAAGCCTGAGACTAGGGAACAGTCCCAGCACTATAAATGTTTTTTGGTATATCTCATGTTTCAGTTTTTTTCGCCACTCAACCCTGTGAGAGTACACATTGAGATTGGTCCTGATGGGAGAGTAACTGGTGAAGCAGATGTTGAATTTGCAACTCATGAAGATGCTGTTGCAGCTATGTCAAAAGACAAAGCAAATATGCGTAAGTGTGATTTAGAGCACTTGAAGGATGCATGAGAAGTTTGAATTCCACTGATAGGGCTTAGTCTGTAGGTTTTTAAAGTTAGTATCTAAGAGCTAGGTGTGGTGACACACCTCTGAATCCCAGCTTTCAGGAAGCTGGGCCAGGCTTGCTAGTAGTTTAAGGTCAGCCTGGGCTACATATACATCGGGATACCTTATCTCAAAAGGGGATTTACCGTGTGATTGTATTGTGAAGTTCTTTCATGTCTAGTTTTCATAAATGATCAGCTAGAAATTTTTATAATTTTTTTAACCAAAAAGTATTTGCAGTTTACAAATCAACGTGTATAAGAACTCGTGAAGTGCTTACCATGTATTTCAGCAACATGCATTTTCAAACTTTCTTTTTTGTCATTTCAGAACACAGATATGTAGAACTCTTCTTGAATTCTACAGCAGGAGCAAGCGGTGGTGCTTACGGTAGCCAAATGCTAGGAGGCATGGGTTTGTGTAAATATCACTTTAGTGTCTTTTTTTTAAAGCTAACCTTGTATGCCTTTTTTGTCATTTCAGAACACAGATATGTAGAACTCTTCTTGAATTCTACAGCAGGAGCAAGCGGTGGTGCTTATGGTAGCCAAATGATGGGAGGCATGGGCTTGTGTAAATATCGTTAGTTTTTTTAAAAACCAAAACATTTTATCTGTATAAGTCGATTATAAGTTAAGATAATCATATTTAATGAACTTAGCATAATGTTAAGTTAGCTTAACAATTTTAAGTTAGGATAAAAAGAATAGTTTAATTTGGATGAATTTTGTCATTAGTACGGTTAATACTTAAATCGTTACAGAAACTAACTGGTTAGGATAAATTTAAGTATTTGGGGGAGGGGACTACAGAATGGAACTAGTTAAATTGAGTACACAGTTTACATGTAAAATAAAAACACAGGCTTAAAACTTTAGGGGCATAATAACCTGGGCATAATTAGGTGTGAGTTGATAACCTGCGTATCGACATAACTTAATATATTAAACCAAGGAGGCTGCTCCACTAAATTCAAGCAGTTTAAGATCTGTAAGACCTCTATTGTGGAATCATGGATTTAGTCCTGCTGAAGTATATTGTTAACTAGTTGGTTCGTAAATGTCTGACTAGATGAGATGAATAGAAGTGTTAGTCTAGTTATAGACGATAGGCAGGAGGCGGCAGAGGGCTAAAGTAGTAGATTGAGACCTGAAATCACTCGTAGTTACAAGCCAGGTACCACCAGGTACCACGCTACACGAGGAGTGAGGTGTGAATGTCCTCTTAACTTGACAGCAAACCAGTCCAGTTACGGTGGCCCAGCCAGCCAGCAGCTGAGTGGTGGCTACGGAGGTGGCTATGGTGGCCAGAGCAGCATGAGTGGATACGGTAAGCGAGCGTTCTTACATACTTGGAGTACGTTTTAGGTAGGTTTCTTTAGTTGGGAATATGCAGGATTCTTTTGATGAGATTGGGTTACTTAAATGTATGCTTTTATTTGTTCTTTGATAGTTTAACTTTCCTAAACAATCACAGGGTGGGGAGTAAGTGTTAAAGAATTAAAAAGTCCTTTGGAACTTTGGCAAACTGTCAAGCAAGAAAACATCTGCCTTCATTTGTTAAAACATTAAAGTAGTTCTTCCCCCCCCCCTTGGTTAACATTAAATCGATTTTTGAAGATTTTTAAGCAATAGAATGGTGGTTGGGTTGAGGACCGTATTTTAACACTAGTCAGTTAACCTAGGGATGGTTTTATTTTTCGATTGGTCTAAAGAATGGTGATTTTGGTATGATAGTCTTACCCTACAAAATCCTTTTGCAGACCAAGTTTTACAGGAAAACTCCAGTGATTTTCAATCAAACATTGCATAGGTAAATATTTTCTCAAAAAATATAAATTCCCAATAGCAGATACTGATATGTTGTAAACCACTATCTCTAGCAGTCAGTGGCTCCGACTTCACTCCTTGGCTGCCTGTGGGCACAGTGAGTGGCCGTTAGCCCCCCTTTGTCAGCTCACCTGTTGCCCACCATGAATAGGAAAAGCAAGAGACTTCCCCTGTGCTCCCTATTCATATGTGCCATTGGATGGACGTTGTGAATGTTATGGTAAATTTTTAAAAAATGCCTTGCTTAGCTTTAAAAACGAAGTAATTTTGCAATTTTTGAAAAACACTAGTTTTCCTTTAAACTTAATTTTCCACGTTGATCCTGAAGAATCCGTTTAAGTGCTAGCACAAGAGTCTGGCAAGTTGGTACTGGAGAGAAAAGGGTTAATCGGGACTTGTTTGGAGTCGGGATCCCCCTTTCCCAAACATGCTTCTTCAGGTGGACAGCAGCCATTTGTACTCATATATCTTTTAAACTTCTTGGAATGTATTTTATTTGGCTGATTATCTGACATTACTCCTAACTTACCACATTGATCTCTTGCAGGTAGCCAAGGAGCAGTGAACAGCAGCTACTACAGTAGTGGAAGCCGTGCATCTGTGGGTGTGAATGGCATGGGAGGGGTGTCGGGCATGTCCACTGTGAGTGGTGGCTGGGCACTGTAACTGGCCCTGGTCACTGACTCTTGGCCAACTTTTTTTAAAAGAAAAAAAAAAAAAA